TGCCACCTACAGAAAACTATATCAGATTTAGGCCAAGTGCAAATACCTCTTTCGCGAAGTGGCCCCAGCGACAAAGAGTTTAGAAATGGAGAGCCTTGAGTACAAGGAAACAGCTGGCCCACCGCGGCTTGTTCGACTGCCTCTGCATTGATGAAGAAAGGACCTAGGTAGAACTCATTGAGTTCGACATTGGCAGGTGCGAGAAAGTTCAGAGTTATGTATGAACGATTAAGGAATTTCTGAAAGTCTTCAAAACTAAAGGAGTCGCCAGATTGAGATTGTGAAGTAGCCATTAGGGATGAAATGAAGTTTTTCAGAGTTACATAGTAGGGAAGTAAAGAGATGAACAGTAAAATTGTGAGAAGGAAGCGCGAAAAAAGTGAGGCGTGATTTAATGGTGCAGTGAAATGGCATATTTGGGGGTTATAAGGGTTTGCAAAATGTTGCACCTTTTCAAGCTATGGAAAAAAATAATGATTGAAATTCTTGAAAATTTCGAATGTTGCTGGAAACACAAAAGTGAATATGGCAAAATTTAATAATTGGTATTAATTCTGCCATATTGGGGGGTAATTGTTGACACATAAAAATTCAGCCCAAATCGAACAGCCCAAGGAATGAAGCCCAATTGGAGGATCCCCAAATCAGATAGTCTAAAGAACGAAGCCCAATCAGACAATTCAGGATGAAGGCCCAAATAGGGAGGCCCATGAACGCGGTAACACCATCGCCCAAGCTTGCAAGTCACCCAGGATCTGAGCGAATGGAATGCCATGCAGTCGCCCAGAGCTGCTACTCTATTCTCGCCCAAACCTTCGAGTCGCCCAAAGTCTTAGCAAACATGAAGTGTTATGGTTATCAAGAAGCGCAGTTATCAAAGCAGTTATTAAGCAGCCTTATCACGTTCCACGATTCAAGGAATTCAATTGAAAATGGTTTAACGACAAAGAGTAATGGCAGCAGTTAGAAAAGACAGTTTCATGACAAGTTGCCCATTATGAGGAAAGTGGGCAGTTATAGAACGATCAAGCAGTTTTTAGGCGGTTGATCACAAAGAGATCATCCAGGGAGTATAAAAGGAAGAAAAGACATAGAGCAAAAGACTCCGAATCAAACACTCTCAAACAGAGAATATGTAACTTTCCAATTTCTTAGTTTAGATTTAAATACTTCTTTCAATAACTCGTGTACTTGCGCCCCTTGGAGGTATTCTGTTTTTACTTTCCGATTGTAAAGTCATCGCCAATAAAGAATATCTCTTTTTGGGACTTTGTCTCAAGAGATTTGTCCCTTACACAATCGTCTGATCCCTTTTTAATTGTTAGCGACTAACTCGCGCGAAACACTTTCATTTCAACACCTCATAAATCTGTAATCGATAATGTAAATTGTGATGTACAACAAATATTTTCTCTATTCGTGTATCATTTTTTTTCCTCAAGCTAAACCTTGTCTACCACACATTCTATGGAATCTATAAATTCCTTAC